TAGATTGGATATAAGGAGGAAATTCTTTCCTGTGAGGGTGGTGAGGCACTGGAATGGGTTGCCCAGGGAGGCTGTGAATGCTCCATCCCTGGCAGTGTTAAAGGCCAGGTTGGACGAAGCCTTGGGTGAGATGGTTTAGAGCGAGGTGCCCCTGCCCATGGCAGGGGCATTGGAACTGGATGATCTTAAGGTCCTTTCCAACCCTGACTATTCTGTGATTCTATGATTCTAAGTCACACTCTGGGCTTTGCGTGAGGCTAGAATGCATCACACAACAGAGGGTAAGGTGGGTACGTTATTCCAAGTCAGAAGGATCCCCTTTAAATGGGGGAGAAGTGAAGGAAGAGAAAAATTCTTTCCAAGGAAAGATACTTTCAAAATGGTGATGTTCTGACCGAAGCAGCAGCTCTGGAATTCCTGTATAACCCAGTCTTGGGCTGGTCCATGCGCACTGACAATGCACTGAGAGAGCGGCTCAGCCAAAGGCTGCAGGAGTTTGCCTGAGCTGGGGATGCTGCATGATGCCTAAAGGGTGACTTATTTCTTTTTCTGAATTTGAACTCCAAGAAACCTGCACAGCTTTTCCCCTGCTGCCCCTGGAAAGGCTGGAGAGACACTGGAGTGCTGCAATACAACATGATTCCATCATTGGGGCACTCAGGAAGTCGAAACCAACCTTTTGGTGGTTCGTCTTCTACATCCCATTTCTCTGCCAAGCAGCCTCATACCCAGAAAATGGGATAATGCAAGCGGGAATGCCAGGTACACACAGGTGAAGGGGTGAGTGCTCGGTGGGGACAGCACAGGATAACCCCAGAGGGGCTGGACACAGCACTGGCTTGGTCAGTGCTAACACCCAGCCCTGCCGAGAGCAAACAGGCAGCTTAGCTGGTTCCTCAGGAATAACCTATTCACTGCTTGGGTTTTAGTGACACATCTTAGAGACTGAGCTTTATGCCTGCTGGCGTGGACCCTGCCTCCCACTAACTCTCCTCTAGTCCCCCAGACACCATGCTGAGCTGATATGGGGTACTAAACAGAAGTACCTTTGTTCTTAGACTGAGATGGAAACAGCGTCCATGCAGCTACACAAGCACCACATGCAGAAGGGCACGTTCCGATACAGTTTAATACAAAATTTGTTATCAATATATTTCCAATTAAAAATTAACAATTTCAGGTCTTATTAACCCAGTAAGTTTAACTCCGGGGTTTCTTCTGCAGTCAAGAGGAATTAGTAAGTACATGTGATGGCCAAAGTCCAGGCGAAATATCTGCTCCAGTTTAAAGCCTTCCAACAAGAGGGCAGCAGGACCCAGTCAGAGATCTACCTTGTAACTCAAAACAGACATTCTGCAACTGCTCTAGCACTCATTGGTAGCTGCCATCCCCAATATTTAAAGACTCCAATAGTAATAAACAGGCACCGCATGGCACTGGAGCTCTGTGTGTACCCTTGAGGTGCACCACACTGGTTGAATACAGCCCAGAGAGTAAACCAGGACTGTGAAGAGCACATCTGTGGTCTATCCAAGACACAGAACAGCTGATTTCACATTTCTTTTCCTACCACTGCTGCAATAACCAGCTTAGGAGCTTGCATCTGTTTGGTACATAGGTCTTGAAGGAATTAACCTCTGTGGATCTGAATTGCATCCCATTTGGATTGCAAGCTATCAGGCAAACCAAGAGCAGCATGGCTGTTTCCTGTGAATAAGACAAATGCTATGTCTACCTCGATGAGCAAGCCAAACCGGAGGGCAGAGTGTGAAAATGGGATGGATCTATTCTTCTTGAAACAATGGAACTGGGGAGGGCTCCCAGCAGCCACCAAAACAGCCCTCAGGACTTCCGTATGCTGCCTGCTAGAATCTCTCCTCCTCTCAAACAGTAACACAGCAGCTTCCTCGGTGTCAGCATCAGAAGGGCCACAGCTCAGCCTGGGCACCTCCGGCTACAACATCTCTTCTGCCCGCAAGTTTTTGCCTTCACATGCACTGAATGAGCAGCCAACAAACCAGGAACTTGAGATTTCCCATAAGACAATGCTAGAATATGGGAAATCCCAAAGAGGAATACAGCAGCATATATAAAATGAGTGTATTCATAAGAGAAGCATAAAAGAAAGAGTTGGAGATGCAACAGCTCTTGCCCTAGTAGGAGCAAATCTCACTGCAGGCCACCCATGTCCTTCTGCAGGCACAGCCTGCATGAACAGCAAGCCCCACAGTTGAAGAGGACATGTCCAAAAGCCCACCTCTACCTGCACACACATCCTGCTGCCGCTTGGTTGGTTTGAACACGCATCAAACGGATTAGATCCAAAGGTACCCAAAGTTTCACAGCTGTTGTGGTTGGAAGGGACCTTAAAGCTCCTCCAGCTCCAACCCCTGCCACGGCAGGGACCCCTTCCACTGGAGCAGCTTGCTCCAAGCCCCTGTGTCCAACCTGGCCTTGAGCACTGCCAGGGATGGGGCAGCCACAGCTTCTCTGGGCACCCTGTGCCAGCGCCTCAGCACCCTCACAGGGAAGAGCTTCTGCCCAATGTCTAACGTACTGATTAGAACCTACTGCACCGAGCCTACTGCCCAGCATGGGCAGAAACATGGTGTGCACCCGCAGTGGTCACCCCAAGGCCATTCTGCTCAGCGCCAAGGCTGCAGAACTCTTAGGCTCTCACTCCTAGTACTTGCCTCTCATGTGATGATTTCTATGACTACAGCCAAGATCCAGGAAAAACGGTCTGGCAGCAAATCCATCTCTCTCCAACCCTGAGGCTTTCATCTGCCACATTAACCCCTGGCTGGTGCACATCAAGGCTGGCAGAAAACCACAAGAGAGGAGAGATGTTTTCAGCCCTGTCTTCGGATTGCAAGTGGGGCGGGATTGATGCTGTTCCTCTGCCTCCTACCCAGCCTTTTCCTTTGACCTCCTTTTATTCTGCCTGTGACCCTTCTCCACCACAGCTCCTGTACCTGCAACAGTTCGTAGCTACAGTTTTCTCACTCAATGGCATGAAAATGACACTTCTTCCACTGCTGCCTACAGCCTTCTGAATAGCACCAGCAAAACCAATGGCTCCCTCTTTTATTCTGCTGCTAATCACAGCAAAGAGAAGCACGACGGGCACCAAGCTGGCCAGAGCTGCAAACCTGGAACCACACACACCTAACCTGGAATATAGATCTGCAGAAACCTGGGATCAGAAGGCAATTCCCATCAGTATCCCTATTTAAAACAAACAAACACACAACTTTGTGGAATACAAGGAGCCTCGAACAGCTCTGCACGTCCAGGGAGCGGTGCTAACACGAACCGGCTGCTGTTCTCACACAAAGAGCAGGGAACCGTCTTCTCCATTTTGCGGGCGCAGGGAAGCGGGCGGGCAGGGTCGGGGCTGCGGGCACAGGGTGCGGGGCTCCGGCGGCCCGGCCCCGGCGCTCCCGGCCGCAGGCAGCGACCTCGGGGCGCAGCAGCCGGGGCCGGCTCCGGCACCCTCGCAGCGGCAGCAAAACACCGTCCGCGCTGCCGGGAGCGCCGGGCCGCCCATTGTACGGCGAGAGGGGCTGCACAATGGCCCGGCCGGCCTTTGTTCGCAGCGAGCTCCATTAAACGGCTCTTTTCCTCCTCTTCTTTCCCTCCCCGGTCCCCGGGGAAGAGGCGGGCACGGCGCGCACACACGGCCGCAGCCCCCACCCCTTTGTTGCGGGCGGACGGACGGGGGGACCCGCGGCCCCGGCCTCGGGCGGACCCTGCCCGGCGGCCGGGACGGGGGCTGCTCACAGCAGGCCTAGAGCGACAACACGGCCCGGCCCCGGCCCCGGCCCCGGCCCCGGCCCACCGCCCTGTCAGCAGCCGCGGGCCGCGCCGGGCCCGTTCGCCCCTCAGGGGCGCGGTAGCGTTGGAGCCCCCGCTCCCTGCTCCCCGCCGGCCCCTCCGCACAGCCGGTCCCGCACCCCCCGCCCCGCGGTACCTGCTGATCTTCTGGGCGAAGGCGCGGCGCTCGGCCATGGCCGCGCTGCGGAGCTCGGCGCGGCCGCTCCTGGGCGCTGGCGGAGCCGGGGAGCCGCGAACGGGCGCCGTAATGCTCCGCGGAGGCGCGCACCCGCGCGGCGCGGCCGGCCCAGCTCCCCCCCACGGCGCCCGCCCGCCTCCTCCCGCTGGCCGCGCAGGGGCCGCTCCTCGCAGACATACGGCGGGGCGGGCGGCCGGCCCCGTTCCGCTGCCCACCCACCGGTGCCGGGCGCTGGGACTGGACCCGCTCCCGGCCTGGGGCAGGCTTCAGCCAGCGCGTCCGGTCGGTGCCGTGGTGCCGGCGGAGCGCGCCCTGGGCTTGGCTCTCTCCGTTCCCATGTGCAACCGGAGCGGGCTGGGGGTAGCGCTTGTATTAGCGCAGGTCCGCTCTGGTTAGGGAAAATGGCTCTTCAGCCGGGTCACACCAACCGGCCCCTACCCGGGGCCAGAGGAGCTCTGCTGGAGGCCGTGGACAGCTGTGGTCTCTGCTCAGGACTGCTGCCAGGGACCCACATGGGCTCACCCCTAAACCACGCCAGGGTCTTGTGTGTGCTTACCCCTAAATCAATGCCAGCATCTCCTGTGTGGTCACCCCCAAACCACTGCCTGGGTCTTGTGCATGCTCACCCCTAAATCACTGCCAGGGTCCTGTGCTCTCCCCCAAAACCACTGACAGGGTCTCATGTGCGCACTCCCGGCAGGGCCACAGTTCTGCAGGGCACTGCTGGCTTCTGTGGCCACCCAAATACCCACCCAGCATGGCTGAGGGACACGCTTAGCACACTGTAGGTGCTCACAGGGCCAAGACCAGGCTCCAGGTCTGCTGTACCCTAGATGGTACCATTTTGTCCTTCAGAAAGGCTAAAAACCATCCCTAACAGTGATTCAGAACATAGCCAGAATAGCGAAATTACCATCTCTCCATCCAAACAAGTCCTTGCCACCAGTCTCTCCATAAACATGTTGTACTTGAGGTCATCCTAACGGGAAGAAGAGGGCAGGGAGTTAAAAAGGAACTATTTTGGGACTTCAAAAAAAAATCTTGAGCCTGGGACACATTCTAGCAGATAATTTAAAGTCGATGTTACATGACATATGCTGTGCATTAATCTAAAGCAGAGAACTATTAATAGTAACCCAGAAGTGTCCAAAAGTAGCGCGTGTTAATTCATCCGATTCCATCTGTTTGCATTGTGCGAATGTTTCTAGCACATTGCGGCTGCAATCTGAGTACACCAGTTTTTCCACTCGCAGAAGCCATCAATTTCCAGCTGCACGGAATTATTCTGGTCTTCTGTTTGTGTATGTTTACACAGGGGCCCCAAAATCTGCAAATATATATGTTTGTGAGCGATCCCATTGGAGTTAATCAGACTCTGCATACATAAAGCGAATCCCATGTGGGTACGATTATGGCCCGCTACAGAAATGTGCTGTCAGGCGTTACACAGATGCACGCACGTGCACACAGATGGAGATACTGCAAAGCAAAGACCTATTGTACAGCACTGTGAAAGGACTGCTCTTCTGCAGGGGAAGGGGAGAAAATACCCCACAAACCTCTGCCGAGACAAAGACTCATGCTCTTGAGTTACTGCCTGCATGTAGAATTGCACAAAGGATAAGTTCATCACACAGAGTGGACAAGATAAGCTATTTACCTGCTCACATCCACATAAACTGTGGCTGCCCCATCCCTGGCAGTGTTCAAGGCCAGGTTGGACTGGGCTTGGAGGAAGCTGTTCTAGTGGAAGGTGTCCCTGCCTGTGGCAGGGGTTGGAGCTGGATGAGCTTTAAGGTCCCTTCCAACCCAAACCATTCTGTGATTTAATGAGCAAATCCTCATGCATTGTGTGTGTGCTTACAAGAACAGACCTAAGCATGAAGAACCACCACAAATATTTCCCCTTTCCATCCCACATGGGATTTCCTTTCTTAAACAGCATCAATCCAAGATGCAGGAGAGCTAATGTAGTCCTACCTTAATGGAAAATGGCACTGCCTAACTCTGATGCTGAAACTGGGAATCCTGCATTTCTGAAAAGGGAAATTCTTATCAATGCCAGAAGGTGCAAAGAGCAGCCTGGCCCTGAAGCCCTGACACACAGAGCACAGCATATCTAAGTTCAGTCAAGAGACCTCTTGGATTTTAGGTTTCATTTTCCCCTATGGTCAGTTAGCACAGACAGAAGAACTTACTGAAGTTGTTGGACACGTAAAGGAAGCTCAGTATCATGCCCAAATCGACATATTTAACAGCCTTCTACCACTGATTTGTTAGCGTGGGCTGTCTGAAGACCCAGGGTACTCTTCAAAACGCAGTCATGACATGGGAAACTCTAGGTCTGTGTCCGATGAGCAGGAATGGCTGAGCTTGAAACAGCCCCCACCACCCATAGTGCCCACCTCCCTCTGCCCCAGCACCTGAGCTGTGTATTAGCTGTTTCCTACAGCTCCAACATCCACAACACAAGGGTTTGAGGTAACTAGTTCTGAGCTTTGATGTCACCTTTGCTCATCTGTCAGTGCCCTGCTCTTCAAGGGTTTGTTCTGCAGCTCAGAGCTTGGCCAGATGAGCTCTGGCAGACCTGGCTGCCCACCTACCTCCACGCTGCAGGCAACCAGATGAGACGTGCCTGCACCTCAGCTGTGCCTGACAAGATGTGCTCTGACATCTGCAACTGCCAGGAAGGAAAGTCTGTGTGTAGATAACCAGGGCTTGAAACTGCTGTCTGAGGTGGGGACGCTCATCCTGCTCTTCCACCCCTGCCAGAGAGCCTGTAGCCTCGCTGACAGAGCAGGACAGTAACTGAGAGCAACCAAGCTGTAAACCAATGAACAGTCTCTCCTTGAGAGTGAAGGGCCTTTGCACTAATCACAGATCATCACTGCAGAAGGCTGCAAAGCTAAACTGGAGCAGAGGACAGGAACCCAACTCTTTATGAATGATCTGTTACCCATCTTCTTGATGTATTTTAGAGAGAAGTATCAACAGAGATAGAAAAACTAAAAAACCTCTAACTCTACCCTATCTAAAATGGGACATCTATGTACAAAAGTAAACAATCAATGTATTTTCAATTCAAAGATAAAAATTAATCCGAACTATATCTCCATCAAATACAACACATATTATGTGCTGTCAATGGGAGGGTATTGCTTTGCAGATAAACAGGTTTTCTCCATGTAGTTGGTCTAAATATGAATGAAATGCCCCTATTCATGTAAGAGTCAACCTCAACACGTGATTTCAGAAAAATAACAAAGATTCCTCATTATTTTTCAGACATTAACAGCCCAGCAAAAGTCTACAAAGTCACTGCCAATGACTTTGAACAGTAAGAGATGACTGACATTAGTAGAAATGTACACATGAGCTTGGAAAGAGAACCACTAACCAAACTAACCAAAAATGTCAAGGAAAAAGTGAAGGAATATGAGGGGGAAAACCAGCAGCCTTTTACCATTGTAAATCTATTAGTGCCAGACACTAGAATTTGTGGTATCAACAAATCCTGCCTCCATATTGCTGTCACATCAGTATGACTGATGCTGAGGTGTCGCTGTGTTATTCCAAGCAGTAAGGTGAGTGCTGCCACTGACAGGCACTGTGAGTCCCATAACCTACCTGCCTCTTGTCTTCTCATCTTAGAAGTGAATTAAGTGAAGGAAATGAGTTACCTGAAGAAATAAACTCTTGCTTTGCAAAGAGGAGAATGTGATCAATTGGCTGCAGAGACCTGTTACATGGAATTTCAGTCTGCAACAAAACATTTCTCCAGGTGTCTCTTCAGGAACTAGCACCTTCCTCTTGACTCAAAACCAACTGCTGTGTGGCAAATTTTACCTGCAGTCGAAAAAGGAAGTGTTATCTTTTAAATTAGGGTGAAATTGTATGCGAGTGATGACGTATTTGGAGTGTTGGGGTGCTTATTCTTCATAAAGCTGTTTTGTGCCTGTGTATTGTCCTCAAGGGTGACTGGTATCTCAGAATAAGGGTGAAGGCAAGTGAAGACTAACTTCAGTAGAGGGACTGTGTACACTGCAATTAATACCTCCATACAACCCAATTTAATTTAAAGAAATGTTTGGAGAAAGGCTACATATTTCTAGTAATCAATTTAAAACCTGGAACTTTATCTGCATTATGAAGATACTGAACAGTTACTCTGCATTAACACTTTGCAATTGTTCATCGTGTTTTGGAAAGCAAAGAAGGAATCTTGCTTGTTCTACACCAGATTGCAATAGTAGAATGCATCAGCCTTTGAAAAACATCACTGCCTCCAAAAAGCAGTTAGCCCATTTATGCAGCTGTCATTGATCAGCATCTGCTGCTCTGAGTGAGTGGTCTCTGAGAAGCTGAGGGGTGATGTTCACCTATCATGTGCGTGCTCCACCAAGATGAAGGCTGAACACATATGAACTGGGAGTTGAGGGTGATGGGTGTGCACCATAGCTGTTGTATTTCCCTTCTAGTTACCTTGCTGATCTGGGGACTGGGGTAAAAACCCAGCAATTTACCAAGACATGGACTGTCATGTTGAAAGTCACCTTTTCATCTTCTCTGATAAACCCTGAACAAAGAGGTGAGGAACGATCAGTTGAGTCTGCCTTTGCAAGCTGTATTTGGGCAAAGCACCTATCTAAGGAGCCTGGACACAGTGCTCCATTAACACACACGCACCTGTGAAACAACATCTCATCCTGAAGGGGTATGAACCAAGAAACATTTCAATCAATTCACCAGGGTACCTGTCCTTTAAAACACAGGACTAAAATGTTTTTGTAACTGATAATTAACTTTACTTTGCTATAGTCAGATGTGGTAAATGCATCCTGCAAACACAGATGACCTTATAATTACCAGGCTCAATGAGTTACAAGTCCTGCACAAGAAAACCCTTTTGGACTGCAGCCCAAAACCATTTTGCAAAAAGCAAACCAATCCTGTGTCTTGTTTGGTAACAGTCTATTTACTCAGTCCATTGCTTCCTTGTTCTTCTTACGTAAACTTCCTCCAAGCAAACACACTGGAAACATTTTCCATTGAAAATGCGTCCAACATCATTCAATAAACAATGTGGTAAATAAGGGACTGCAAATTTAGGGAGCCATCTACCGGCAGCCAAGTGAAACGAATTAAATTCATTAAGGGCCAACTCTCTGCCTATCTGCAGGAAATTTAGTTAAAGAAACTAAATCTGTGTAACATAAACTGTGTAAGCACAATCATCTTGAAATGCGTATGGCAAGAGTGAAGATGCTGGTGTTCGTGGAGCAAGAAGGAGAAGCCGTTTGTCCAGTGCCCACATTCTGCTGGGAAAATGACATGGTAGGAGAGTAAAGAAGAACTCTCCAAGTGTCTGCAGCCTTCACTGCATCCCTCAGGTCCATGTTATTTCTCTTATAGACAGCTCAAGCCAGGCATGGCAAAAGCTGCTATTAGCAGAGCTGGAAGCAGAACCAAGGTGCCCTGACACAGCATTTCGAAAACTAGGTTTTTATAGGGAATGGTGTTCTTCACCCATCAGAAGTTCATAAGGGATCCTCAGAGTAAGGAAGGGAGATGTTTTGTAGTTCTGGATACCAAATCAAATCATATCAACTACTGCATGAAGCAGAACTGCTGCATGTAAAACATTCTGCCTTGAGTAGAACTTCCCAGCCTGGGAGCCTGACCCACAGCAGGATCATGCTTCCTCCTCCGCACAGCACTTCCAGGCATTGGTGCTACCTGAAGATGGGAGAAGCAGAAGTAGTTTCTGGTTCATTCCTTCTCTTGGCTTTACCTCTGCTCTTTCAGTTGGAGCGGTTGGCTAGGCCAGCAGGCACTAAGGTAAGAATGGTGGCCAGACTCACCCTTCTGCAGCAGCAAAAGTTCCTTTTGGGGCAGAAATGGAAACTGAAATCCTCAGCTACACAAACCTTTCTGCAGCCTTCTTCATGTGGCAGCATTTGACGTCTGCTTCATTTCTGCCTTTATTCTTTGTCTCCTAGCATTATTTACTTCCAGGTATTAATAGATGGGTTCATGAACTTGAATCTCAGATAAGGACTCACAGTCTTCCTAAAGGAGCTTCCATTAATTTCTGCTCATGTTTATCATTTTCAGGTAGCTTATGTTTCTATCCTGAATACAGCTTTCAGTCTCTCCCAGTTTAATACTCTGTAAACGTCACTAATATGCTCTTTATTTTCTCTTCCAGATATTTAACTAAGATCTTAAATGAGGGGTAACCTTGACAGAGATTCTTATAGGTATCCTACTGGAGCCTCCTCTTCTCTAGCCTTACCCTGGGATAGAGTAAGAAAATCTGGTTTTTGGATGGAGTACATGGTATGAGCAGAAACATGCTGGCTAAATTGGTGGAGAGGAACTCAACAAAACTATGAGGGGTTATGCTCACTCTGTCCCTTGCATCCTACATTGCTGCCTGAAAGGCTGGTGCACAAATTACTGCCACAGCAGCTCCCCAGGCAGACCAACACACGAGGCACATGTGAGCAGACTCACACATTGGCAGACAGGTGAGTCTCATCTGGAAAAGGACCTCAGGGACAGCCTCATCAAAGAGCATAGTCAGAGTCTGTGCATGCAGGTGACAACATCTCAAGAAGCAGCTTGGGAGAATGCTTTGTTCCCTGGAAGCCTTCATGATCCTTTGTTGCTTTACAGTGTGCATGTATTGACTATTAACCTTGAAGATCCCAACTTCTTTGTGAGACCCATGACGTTCTGGAGTAATGGGTTTGCTTCAGAGATGAAATAGTTGTCACAGCTTTAAGTTTTTAATCAATAGTGCTTCCTATCTTTATAAAGCTCAGTATCATTTATCTAACCATGCTATTTCCAGTAGTGTTGCTAAGCACAAGCAAGCCTTCCACAAGTATATCTGAGGTTTTCTGTTCTTAAATGGGTGGGAGCAATCATGTTGTAGCTAATTTTAACAAGGAGTTGTGTGAGCAGCAGGATTAACACAGCCTGGATTCCAGTGTTCTCCCTGAATCCTGTCCCAGGGCCTCTTTACCTGAGCAGCTATTTCCACAGAAACTGAACGTACTTATTGTCTCTGAGGCCCTGCAAACTTGATTAAACTGCAGTGGTTTCAAAACTTTCCCGAAGGAAACAGGTCACAGATGGTTTACTTCCCTAGGAAATGAAACTAAAAATAAATGAGGAAAAATTCCCTTGTCTATAGCTCCCTGACCCAAGGTCTCCTCTGTTTAAGCAACAAGCAAATGGGTGTTTTGGATAGCACACACTGTCCACTGCATGTTTAATGGGCTTTTCTAAACATACTGCAGATCAGTGATGAATGCTTAGATAACTTCCCAAAGGGGATCTAGGAGGCTAGTGGCAGAGAGAGAACCAGCTTCATTCCTAACTGCTCAATTCAGTGTTAGCTTACCATCCAGCAGTGTCTGGTGGGGAAATGTTGTGTAACTGTGGTATCTCCAAGACCCATAAAGCTGAGAGCACCTTCTTTAATTTTTAGTCTTCTTGCCATTGCCGCTTGGTGTTACCCACTGGGTTTACCTATTAAAAGAAGCAAAGACAAGTTATATTTTCCATGGACACAGATTTTAAATATTTCCTTACTAATACTATATTAATGAAGCACAACTAGAGCTCAAAGATGGCTTGCATGGCCTTTATGCCATTAGAATGCTGAAAGTACAAACTCTGTGGCATTTATTAGAAGTTTGTTGGCTGCAGCATGTTCTCTCCCACTCCTACAAAAACAGGAATCAGTGGATGTGGAGAAAACATTCTCTTTATAGAGAGTTATGTATGGCTGCCTGAGTAATTATTTTGCAATCAAAGCGTTGTTTTGCATGGTCAGACTGATGCAAAAAGCAGAAAATAGGTATCTTCATTCTCATAACCTGATTGCCCGAGGGATTTACAATGTATAACCAGATGGCACATTGTGTGGCCTATCAAATTGGGGCATGGTTATTAAATTTCAGAGCAGGAAGGTGCAGGCAACTAATTTCAGGCAAGGGAATAGCTATTACATTTGATCAACTGACTAATTCTTTGTTCAACATTTAGCCAAACCATGCTAACTACTCAGCTCTCATTATTCGAGACCATACACAAATAGAGAAGCACATTCATCTTTGTCTCTGAGAACAAAAGCAAAGATAAAACTTTAAAGAACTAGGGACTATAGGGACTGTAGTGATAGGACAAGGGGTAATGGGTTAAAACTTAAACAGGGGAAGTTTAGATTGGATATAAGGAGGAAATTCTTCCCTGTTAGGGTGGTGAGGCACTGGAATGGGTCACCCAGGGAGGTTGTGAATGCTCCATCCCTGGCAGTGCTCAAGGCTGGGTTGGACAGAGCCTTGGGTGACATGGTTTAGTGTGAGGTGTCCCTGCCCATGGGGGATGATCTTAAGGTCCTTTCCAACCCTAACTATGCTATGGCTCTATGACTCTTAAAATAGGTCATAAAATTCTGCAGGCAGGAGGCCCATTTCCTTCTGCACGGAGAGATCACCCACTGCTGTGGGGCCAGAGTCTTCCGTGAGTTTTGTACAAACAGCAACATGGGGTTTAGTTTTAAATCTTTATCTTTGCTTGGAATATAAAGACATATATGGTGTGCATGACACTGGGTGTGCTACCTCTCCTGTTCTGAAAAAGAACAGTAGCTACTTGTCGCCATTATTCAGAGGGGTTTAAATTTGATCATCGTAGCATTATACCTCTGCTGTAGAGATGCTTGCTGCTAGTCTGAAGGCTTCATAAAACAGATCACTAATTTATAGGAACACAGAAATGAAGTGCTGTTAGCAAAGGCAAGCAGAAAGGCAAGGGAAGGATCAGAGAGGCGATCTGCTCCATCCACACTTCAAGCCAATAGCTAGACCTTTGAACGAAGGGGTTGTCTGCTTTGCACCTACCATCCTCTTTGCTGATCGACCCTACTACATGAAATATATCCATGAGATTCCGTAAGATAAAATGCAACCAATATCTGTCATATTTGCACTGAAGCTGCCTGTTAGATCATGTGCTCTATCATGTGCTGATGGTAAAAAGTTAAAACTCAGTCTCATCCTCTTTGACCAGCAGAAGGCAGTAAAATCACAACATGGAAGAAACCCCCTCATCTTCCTCATGAACCCGAACTTGTGCTGCTGAGCCCCAGGCACAGAGAATGCAAGGACATCTTCACTAGCATGGTAAGCAGTAATGCCAGCTCCAGACACTCAAATTCAAGTCCCATCCTTCCCAAATCCTGCAGTTTGAGGTTTTGCTTTTAAACCCTCGGCTCCTGATATAGCCAATGATTATTTTAAGCAGCTTAAGGCTGATTAATGAAGAACCTAATTTACAAAAGACTTTTAAAACGGCAAAAATCCCTCAGCACATCCAGCTGAGGAGGGACACAGCAACTCCGATGTACTTATAGAAACGAATTAAAGCAGGAAACTGAATGGGAAAACACTGTTGGCCTGCAAACAAACACACAGATGTTCAGGCTGGAGATTTAAGTAGGAGTGTGGAGATTTGGGAACCATTTTGCCGTAGTGGAGTTAAAACACATAAAATTGATTAAAAAACCCCAAAGAAACCCTACCACAAACCAACCAACCATTCGAAAAAAGGCAAAACACCTCGAAACGCAGCTGCAGGCACCGTGAGAGGCCGTCGCGTATGAAACGGGCAAGGCCTGACGGCGGGGCTGACCTTGGCTCCACAGCCTCCGGCCGCCCGCCCTGCACCCGCCCCTCCGGGGGCTCGCCTCCCGCCGCGGACGGGCCCGCCCCGCCGCGCCTCTTCCTCCTCCTCCTTCCTCTCGCCGCAGGCAGGGTCTGGAACCCGCCTTCCCGCCGGACTACAACTCCCGGCATGCCCCGCGCGGGCCCGCCGCTGGGCCCGGCCCTCCCCCGTGGCAGCGCCCGCCGGGAGCTGTAGTTCCGCGCGGTTCCCCCACACGGGTGAAGCCCCGGGAGGCCGCTTCCCGGCCGGGCTGCGCCGCGGAGCTCACCGGGAGGGTAAGCGGCGGCCTCGGCGCCTTCCGGCCGGGCTCGCCGTGCTGAGCGGCTCCTCCGTGTCCTTCACGGCGATGGCGCGACCCGGGCAGCGTTGACCGCCCGCCAGCGGCGGCTCCGTGAGGGGTGAGCGGTTGACGCCGGTGGCGGCCGGCGGCGGGAGGCGGGGCGGGAGAGAGGGAATAGCAATATCCTCAGTGGTGGCGGCCCAGAGCCGGCCGCTGCCGGGGGTCCCCGCTGCGCTCCCGGCCAGCCCGATCGCGTGTGTCCCGCAGGGTACGAAGTGTGCCCGGGCTCTCCCGCTTCCCTTCCCGGGCTGTGGTAACCCGCAGCTGTCGGCGGGCTGGGGAGTAACCAGGGCCGCTTTCACTTCCCGATGGGAACGGTTCGGGATCCTCCTGACCCCGGCCCCGCCGTCTGAGGCTGACAAAAGCCCACAGGAGTCGTCGTGAGGACACAAAGACCGGCTCTGGAGAGCAGGAGCGGTAACGAGGCGGCTGCTCACGGGCGGCTCTTGCTGGGCTTTAACTCCTGGACAGGTGAAGTGCTCGGTCTTTGCTGCGGGATGAAGAAACCCCGCTGGTTTTGTTCACTTGTCCTTTACAAGTGTTATTTCTGACTGTTTTAATGTGTGTTTACAGCTGGAAAAGGGTAACTCCTTAAAGATGACTTCTTGGCTTTATGCTGCGTGGGTTTTGCTGGTTCAGTTTCTTTTCAGGTAGCGGAAGTACAGGTCTTCATTCCTCATTAATGACAGAGTTACATTTAGACTTCATCCCTTTTGCGGTGTTAGGTCGCTTCTCTGTTAATGAGAACAAGCAAACGCTGTTGTTAGGGAGGGTTTTTTGTCTCAGTTAACAGCCTGCAATCATCTCCCCTCTGAGACTGGGTAATGGGGGCTCTGAGAGCATCGAGCTTCATTTCTCAGCAGGTGGGTCCTGCCCCCTGTGAAGTAACATCGTCCTAGTAATGCACGTTCTAGATAACTTCTTAAAAGAGACAACTTCAGTATAAAACCATTAGCTTTAGGCTTAATAATGGGGTTCCTTTGTGCCTGTGGGGCTTGAAATATGTATTCCTTGTGCCCTTCTCCTGATGCTGTTCCATTAATTCCAGTGGAACTATTACTGATGGCATCTTGCAGTGATGGGAAGCACCTACGTTTTTCCAGTGGGATAAATGTGCCTGTTTTGTGTTAGCATTCTTCTTGGAAGTCCTTTTCACATCTTTAGCATAATGCTAGGGAAGAAATGGAGCCGGATGAGAGAAAAATGTGCTGCGATGACCATTGTCTTTTAAAAGAAAATGAGCTTCTTTCTCATCTCAGTAATTTCTCCTTCAGGCCCTTTTGGAACAGGAGAGTTGGCTTCATTTCTAATTTTAGCCAGAGGGAGCTTTTACAGGTATTGGCTTTTAAGGCAATCAGTGGCCTCTGCATAAATGACTGTTGCTGATTGATCATGTGAGGACAGACTGGACCAAACACATCTCCTGAAGAAGTTCATCTTGCCAGCTGTGCCATCTAGAGTCAGTGATACAGTCAGCCTTTCTGTGCTTTTCCTAAGAAAAAAGAGAGGGGAAAAGGCAGGAAATTGAAACCCAACCTTAAACTGTCTTTCTCTTCCTTCCCCTAAAAAAGCCCAGCTTACCAGTGGGCTACGCATAGCAGGGATGTAGCCATGGGTTATTTTCACTAGCTAAAAAATGTCACTCTTCCCCCATGTTTGTGAGCTTGCTTTGCCTCTTGTACCATCAAAAAGTTGTTGACTGATTTCTATACAGTGGAATAGCAAAAAAACATCTAGGGATGGCTTGGGCAGTAGATTCCTGTTTTCCTGGCCCTACCTACAGATCCCAGAAACCATGCACCTGTGTGAGTACCTTCAGGCTCTGAAGATGTTGGCACCTGGGTTGCAGTGAGGTACCACTATTGATCAACTCTTGATGGCCTTTTGAAACAGGAGCTCTTACTTTTTCAGCTGTCTATGCAAATATAATCAAGAAAACCTGCATCAACTGTTTCAAAGTGAACCATTGACAGAATACATGCGGTGGAGGAGGCTCCGTTAATTAATAGCAAACATCCTGTTCCAAATGGTGCAGGTGGACTGCAGAGGGAGTTCTGTCCCATTTCCTTGGATTTCTTAGAAACAGGGATAAAGTATATATTGTTATATGCTTGGATAAAGTATGTATTGTTTCTGTATTACTCCCGGTTTAGGTTGCTTTTAGGTTGCTTTTAAGGTTAAGTCCTTGTCTTGCAGTTCAGACAGTCAGTAAAAGTGCATTTCCCTCCCACCACCCCACTTGGAAAATTCATAAGCAGTTTTTACAAAATCAGGCTGCACTGTAGTGTTTTCTATTGCTGTTTTACAGCTCTTATTGCTGTGATAGAGCTGGGCTCATGTAGACAACATGCTCAAATCAGGAGAGAGCCTTCTTATGCATTGCAAGTGATAATTAGAAGAGATGTGAAGTAAACATGCAT